GCTTATTTTATTTAGCGTACGGCGGATGAGAGCTTACTCGTGTCCCGCCGCGAGTGTTTACTTTGTTTACCCCCCTTTTTTTTTGCTATATTTACGCAAATATTGTTTCGTTATTTTGAAACGTTTTAAACGTTGGTTGCTTAAAAGCTTGGTTAATGTTATAGCGCTTATTTGTCTTGAGACATGTTGTTTCAAGTATTGTAGTTACTGATTGAAACTAGTTTTTGTAAACCATTTTTTCTCATATGAGCGCTTAACTTGCCTAACATAGTACTTTGCCGTGCTTTGCTGTTATAAACGTTACCCCCACTCACCACTTACCATCTCTCATTTATCATACTCCAACCACTTACCATACAGTAGTTTATAACGATAGGTTTTGGTTTGGACGAGCAATTTTGTTGAGAAAAATTTGTTCGCGGAAAATATATTACATTTGCGGTTTTGTAAACTGGTATTTCTTTGCTCGCGCTTTTGGCAGTTATCACCGTTTGTTCGCTGGCTTAAATAATTAATATCATATGTTGGCTTTCGTTAAACAGTCGTCGTGTTTTGAGAAGTTTATATTTGAGAAAAAGACGCGACGTGCGCTGAAGGTTTCCAGCTATATAATTACGCCACGTCCCCCTTTTTTTGCTCATTTATCCTTTTGTGGTCCATTGTCTTACGTCATTGCATAAATTTGCGATTGCCCGATATAAAATTAGCAAATGTTTCTAATTTTAGTAACTTGACTTTCAAACATTGTAATTTTGCACTTAAAATTACCAGCTTGTTTATCCATTACTATTATTGCTTTCTGCCAAAAGCGCTTATTGTATAGCGGATTTACACTTATTACGTTGCTTTTGAAAAAAAAAACCAAACAAGTTGTTTACTCATAACGATAAGATTTGTTAATTTAACCAGGATTGACGTTCTTCTACGAAAAAGAACCTTGATTTGATTAACTCACATTTACGATGTTTGTTATCCCTGGCCTTTGTTTGCCTTTGTTTCTATCTATAGATATTGCAAAATTACAGCAGGGCATTGTTCTTGCTATAACGTGATCGATGATTGGTTAATTATTTTACAATGTGACATTTCAAATCATTCTTGAATGCAATTATACAGTGAAAGTCGATATAACGGGATTTCTCGGTACAGACATAAAATTCGTTATATCGTAACAATCCGTTTTATCTGGAAACCGATGTAGCAAACTCAAAAAATGTTCAATAAAGCGGTTTTATTTATTAGTTCATATTTATTAAGCTTGTTAATGTAAAAAGTGTATTCATCAATAATCAAGACGAGAAAGTGATCAAGATTCGTTTGTTTCTTTTTCATTAACTTTTTTAGAACTATTTCTCTCTTCAACCTGTTCAAACTGTATATACAACTAGCGTCTATCTCAAAATTATTTTGATTAATAAAATCGACAAGCGTTGTGATACATTCTATTGCATTACTGATGGAGATCTCTTCTTTCAATTCTGAGTCTGATTCATCTCCCGCTACCACTCCTCTTACAACACCAGCAATATCTTTAACACTTGCTTCTTCTTCATATTCCGCATTATCGTCACAACAAATATACTCGTCTTTTAAAGTTGGCTACCGGTGTTTTGCTTTCAATAGATAACCATTAATCTTTGTTCTTAAGAATGTCTGAAACTTGCTGAGGTGAAATACTATATTCTTTTGCTAGATCTTTCTGTTTAATGCCTGCGTTAGAGTCGCGTTTGCAAATCTCTTTCTTTTGTAAAGTGGTCAATGAAAACCCTTGTCCTTTTCCCAACCATAATATTGTAAAGGTTATTAATACGCAAGAAGTAAAATGTTTGACAATTGATCTTTATTACACTGACGGGTAAATTTGTGCTATTAATATTACTATGGATTATAACGGATCTACTACAAATTATAACGGAGTCAGCCACCGTTAGTGCGGATCTATTATGAACTATAGCGGACTCCGTTATAATTCCGTTATATTGAACAATGTCTTGTTAAGCTCCGTTCATCGATAAAATCCGGAACCGGAATACAGCGATTTAATAGTAAACCCCGCTATATGTAATTAGTAAAACTCTGATTCCAAGAAAAAAGTCCGTACTAAGCAAAATCCGATATATCAACGAACCGTTACACTTTCACTGCGTAATACGAACATAGTATTATATTAGCTTTTTTATCTTGTATTTTAGCTCCAGAATCAATATACGTATATACCATTACGTACCACTCTTCCAGAACAATTCTCACACCTCTCAAATAATTTAGCTAATTTCCAACAACAACTAACTGTTTCTAACATCCTACATGGAGACCGTCTTGTCCCCTTCAAAAGAAAATTGCTCAATTATTCAATGACCATTATAATCAATTTCCTTGTCTTCCTTGCGTATATTGTGAAAAACTATTATATCCGGAAAAAATGTCTGGGGGTTTTGCCGTTTTTCTTTTCGGGTTCTGGCTCTGGCTCTAATTCTTTGGGTTGCGCGGGAAGATTTATCAACTTACCCTTTATTTCAATTATATTTATCAATCGAAATAGATAATATTGCTCGTATCAATACGGTAAACAAACTCCCAACTTGTCAATCTTGCAAAAACCATCGACAAGGCTACGAATTTCTTTTCTTGCCCCAATACCTCAAGAAATCAGCGACGTTCCATATTCGAAAAGAAATATCTATCTGTTGTATGTCAGATCGGAATTTATGTCAGATCAGAATTTTATGTCGCTTCCAAACTGACATACGACAATATATTATTTACTCGATAAAACAAAGTCACTTTAAGATAAAATCACTCTAAGATAAAGAATTTTCCCGCTCAAATTTTTAATGAGCGACATAAAATTCTGATCTGACATAATCACTTCGGAATTGACATAAATTCCGATCTGACATACAACATTATTATGCATTTATTGCTTGATGAGTTGAGTTATCAAACAAGTTTGTGCTAACCACACAATTTGGCGACTGGTGTGACGAAGGATTCAACCATACTACTTGTGGTTTCTGTCTGTATGTACACAATTTGTGATAATTAATAACGGTAATCAACATTTAGAATTTGTCAATACTAACTATACGTATGCTTTATCAAATTTCAATTCCTCATTGAATGAATCGTTCTGCGAATAGTTGAAGATAATTAGAAAATTCACACTATTTTTTCTAATCCTCGGCATTGGCGCAGTTTTTGTGAGAATAAACATTATGTTGATCGCATTTGTTATACGTTTCTTCTTGTGACAGTGATACATGCAATGTCTTCCAAATAAATGTTCTGAACCTTCAATTTTTACGTATGTAAATGCGGGTTTGGAAATTTGACAGAGTTTACATTGTGATATAAAATGTTATGAAGCATAGTTAACTGTCATAATCGACAGTGCAGTAATTTGTTACGTGTAATACTATTTATGGTATCATGAAATTAGATTCAAATGTATGAAGTGGTAATATCACAAGTGACTTGCGCTTATATAAATTAGTTATTTCTTATGCTAAAACTTGCAAACGCTAAAGTAGCATATATTAAAACATACTCAATTGTTAATACGCAAGTAGGGTTAATATCATAATGCCATCATACATGATTTTATAATGTTGTTACCTGGTTGTTTTTACTATTTCAATCCGACATACAACAGTGTTGATTTTTTGCGCTGGATTTTAATTGTATACTATACCCGCCACCACCCATGTGGGAGAAGACGCTTTTATACTAATCGAATACTTTAAAATTTTCATCCTACATACAGCTTGTCGTAAAGATGTTGGCTACATGACACACAACCATTTAAAGAATTACATAACGGCAATCAAACATGCATGCCCCTTTGCTGCACACATCCTGTGCGATAATAAATAATGGTTGTACAAAAAATTTCGATTTTATTGATCATTCTAATACCGTTAACTTTTTTACCAAAACAAGGAAAATATCGCACCTTTCCCACTTTCTTTAGTATACAAAAAAAAATTCAAACGTGAGGAATATATGACAATTAATAGTCATCTAACTTGCGTGTACGAGAAAATTGTACTACCCTGATTAGCATTTTATTGATCACCCCGACTACAATAAAACGTTATACAACTCGTTGTCAATCTTTAGTTATCTTTCACTTATTCACTTATAAACAAAGCCAACGTGAAGAAAAATAATCAATAAACTAAAAAAAATGTCTCAAGTCATCGATATTTTTAAGCATAATTGAAACTAAGAAGAAAAAAATAAACATAAAATAATAATACATGGATCGCGTTACCTGTCCGCATATAAAGAGGGATGGTTCTATTTGTGGTAAAATATGCACTCAAACTACTGGTTGTGCAAAACATTGGAATCTCCACGAGAAAAATATAGCCAAGTTTCCTTGCGCAATTTGCGGGGTACCTACTATTTCTATTACTAAGTGTTGCCCCGGCAGGTTTCACTCGCAGAATTATCGAATGAGACAAAAGAGCTTCTAACTTTAAGATAGTGAGTGGATTTTCACGTCTTTCTAGCGTCGTTAAGTGACACAAAACCCCCTCCCGTACAATATAGTATAAAGCCGATTAACAAACTAAGCGGAAATCCCAGACTCTACATCCGATGTGTTACACACCATTCGCTAAATAAGGCGCAATATGAGGCAGAGCCTCGAAGCTCTGCTTCTTAGTATCAGCATTTACAGTGCTGTGCAAAAGTAATAAAAATTACTAATTAGCTGACAAGTTCAACAACTAACAGTTGGATTTATTTAAAATTTTGTATAAATTTTATTCAAGATATTGTTGTATGTCAGATCGGAATTTATGTCAATTCCGAAGTGATATCTTTATTTTAGAGTAATAATATTATCTTAAAGTGACTTTAAATTTATCGAGTAAATAATATATTGTCGTATGTCAGTTTAGAAGCGACATAAAATTCTGATCTGACATAAATCCCGATCTGACATACAACATTTTCCCATCCAAGCAGATGCATTATCAAATAAGTTCTCATTGAGAATTTGTCTGTAAAGGTCACCATTCATGTTTTCAGTAAACATAAAATATCCAATAAGACCTTTTGCTGAAAATGCTCCCAGAAGTGAATTTTGTAAGAAAGCTTGGGCATAGCCTTTTGTGGTGGTGGTGGTGGTGGTTGATTTTCTTTATAATAAACTTTAACGGTATTTCTATACATCTGGAATGTGGTTTTATCAGAAAATATTACCTTTTTCAGTTTAGAATGGGCAGTCTTAGAGCCCACCTTACTCGTCTTTTTTTATGATTATCTGTTAAAAAAGAATTTTTTTTTGGAATATCAACCTTCTAATGAAGCCGAGAAAGCTCTCTGGATATTGTATTCGTGAGACATTCAAACCAGGGATTAGATTCAATGAGTTTTGTGGCAAGCTCTTGGCTGTTTGTATAATTATCTGCTTGAACCATACGACCTTTTGACGCTGTTTTTTCGGACTCGATATTCTAGGCCTTCCTGAGCGCGGAAGTGGTTCTAACTTCCCATCTTTTTTTAATTGAGCAACATATCTGTATACAGTAGACAACAGAACACCTGTCATTTCAGAAAGAACTTTTGGCTTTCAGCCCATAATTGTCTTATAGCAGATCTTTGCTGCGCAAGAGATGATTCCGTTACTTTGAGTAGGCGTATGATAATAGGAGTAATAGTTATTGTCAAGCTAGAAGGCGTAATATTATTATAATTGATATAAAATTTATGCTGTAAAACCGTTTTTTAATTGGAGTAACATTGGCGTCACAAATAGGATTTTATTGTACACAAAAAAATTCTCATTTGCACAGTACTGACATACTTCTTCATAATTAAATATTGCTTTGGTTTCACCAGATCTGTTTACGATTAATATTAGCCCCTTGTCGATTGTCATACCTAATTAAATTATCTATTCTACACCCCACGCAAACATCAATATACAAATCATCTAAAAAACGACGACACTGTTAGAATTTTTGGAGCAACCACTAAATTACTAAGGATGGCATACAGTACGTGAGGCAAGTAAAGGTATTCATTCACTATTCGATAACCAGCCTAGCCTATTAGTTTAATTACAAATTTTTATGGATGCTGAGTGTGAAGACTTTCGTACTGTCTGCTTATTTCGATTAGTAAATCCAAACATTGCATCACACCGGAAGCCATTCATGCACGGAAATCAGATATCTTGGCGTTTTTACATAAAATACAGTTTAAAGCTGTATTGGATTGCTGCGGTCCGTCGACCCTGACTAATGTATGTACAGATTTCTCTCCGGAATAATGTCCTAATTCGGCAGGTTATTTCCAAATGTAGATTTACACTTCCCGAACTTTATTCAAGTACATGTCTGCGTTCTTATCAATTGAATGTAAAGGTGTTCCTGCAATTAAGAAGGACGTACTAATACAAGTGATAAATGTCTATCAGATTTTCTTTCAAGGTAAACATTACATGTTGGTAGAGCAATCGCATCGTTATTATGTTATCGTTGAATAATCTTAATTTGCTTACAAAGAACTTGGTTACACTTGTCATATCAGTAGCCTTTGGTGATGCCGACAATCGAAATCAAAAAGGTGAGCAACTCTTCGGTAAAAGTTAAATAAACTGTCTTGAGAATTGCCAAAAATTGTCGCTGAACAGAGAGAGAGAAGAAATTATAGTTAATTTGATCAGTAAGTACATAGTTTAACAGAATACAAATGAAATAAAAGTCATATCAGACTAGAATGCGAGGGAAACATGGGAAGATTACGATCAAAATATGTTATTACAACAATAATTGTCATAATCGCAGTAATCATGTATTGATATAAATAAATGCTTGTCGTTATGATTAAAAATATTGCTATCACTCGGACGGGTTGTCCACCTTTTGAAAACCCCAATTAGGAAATTCAAAATAAAGCGCTTTTCCAGAGAGAAAATCTGAACGCTACACACATATTTAAGGTTATGTAAGAATGCATTCATTGTTATGCTACTTGCTGCGTTACACACGCCCCCAGATGAGACTTCGATTATAATTTATGGAAGCAATCGATAAAAGATGAAACAAAAAGGAGTTCACAATTGACGATGCTGTATCTACCTGACAGAATAAGGAATTGTTTACATGGATTCCTCACCTCATTATTTCGCCCATTTTGACCGACTGTATTACTGGTCATTGTAAAATTCACAATAATGTCAATCGTAATCTTCCAACATCAATAAACAACAATCTTGAACTGTTATCTGTCCAATGCAATCTCTAAATTAAGAGATTCCAACTTTAAATGTGTAGAAATAATGAATCTGTCGTATCAATGGACGTTGCTAGCTTCATTGTCAGTTTCAGCAACCGGTCTCATGCAATGTGATGCGATGCAGTCAAGAGTATGTGAAGTACAATAGTACGACTAAAGCTGCATTACCAACTTTAAAAGCGTCAAAAAGTTAGTAACCATGAAACTGTCGTAACACAATTACAGTATTTTGATTGCATTACACTATAAATAAATCTCATCTACTATCGCGAGGAATTTTTATTCACAACAACACTCAACTTACAATTAACAAACAAAATGAGTGGAAAAACATCCTCACCACACCCACAAAATGACCCTACCACCAAACGTAAAAAAGCCTTCGACTCGGCACACATTAGAATATGTATTTTGACGTGTGCAGGGTTTTTCACTGATGGTTATACTCTATACGCAAACATTTTTGTTTACCCACTCTTGGCAGTTGCTTATGCCGATACGCCTATCTATAATTTTCGGATAATAATGAAAACGGCCCCTTGGCTTGGGGCCGTATTCGGCCACTTACTGTTCGGAATCCTAGCTGATAAGTACGGGCGGAAAAAGGTAAGAGTAATGAACGTTAATATTAGTGTGTAGCTAAATCCTAACTGTGTATGCTTTGATTACAGACGTTCGGTGTAGAACTGGTCGTCGTGGTAGTCGGCACGATTTATTCTGTCATCGTGGGTCAAGGACCTACCATATCATTTATCAATGCCTTTGTCTTCTGTCGGTTCGTTCTCGGCATAGGAATTGGCGGAGATTACCCAATTAGCGCCCGTACGTACCATTTCTTTATATTTAAAAGTAGCATTTACCGCACATAATAACGTTTCTTCTTTATATACATCAAGTTATCATTTCCGAACTTGCCCCAACAAAACATAGGGGAAAAATGTTAATCGGCGGGTACGCCGTCTACACCGTCGGGGTGCTTTCGGCTGCTCTGGTCTCGCTTCTCACTGTTATAACTTTCCGATCGTCTATCGATCAGAATCCACAAATTCTGGACAGAGCATGGAGAATCATTCTTGGAATCGGCGCCTTACCGGCGATAATCGCATTACTGTTTAGGTGGTCGATTCCCGAATCACCTCCTCGATATCGAATCTCTGATATCGAAAGGGAAATTGCCATCGAAGAGATTGATAGTAAATACCAAAAACAAAACATCAGCATAGGACACCATGTCCTCAGCTTTTATCGACATTTTCGTTCTGGAAGAAGCGGGAAATACTTAGTAATAATCTCCCTGGTCCTATTTAGCGCAAGTCTTAATCCCGCTTTATATTCGGGTTATCCTCTAATAAACACTGGAGACACTGACATCTACAATACCCTCTTGGACTATTATTTAAATAATGTGCTTTGGCTTCTCTTGGGGTTCGTGCCGGCGGCCCTTCTTGCCGTGTGTTTGGTAGACCGGTTGGGCAGAAAACCCCTTTTATACATTGGATTTTCGGGGTGCGCAGTTTTATACTGCCTTACAGGCCTATTGGTCTGGTTTACGCACATTGATAAACCGGAGACAAGTTCGGTTTATTATGGACTGGCATTACTAACCCGAGTAAGCATGATTTTCGTTTTGAATGGTTATTGACAATCTATTACTTTTTTGACGCTAATAGCGAGACGAACTTTATTTTTAAACATTGCTAGTTCTTCCTAACGCTCGGTCCACGATCGATGAAGTTTGTTTATCCCGCCGAGTTATTCCCGACTCGGTATCGATCCACAGCCTTTGGGCTGTCAATGTCTTTGGGAAAGTTCGGCTACATATTTTCCTACTCCATAATGGAGTGGATTTCCGACGTGCGTTCGGCTGAGGGCTTACGTGCACGATTTCTCGGTGCATCTTTTGGATGGACCAGTCTCATGCTTTTTGGGGCGATAGCGACAAGCTATCTCCCTGAAACTAACCAACGGCCGTTGGAAGAGATTGCCGACGAGGACGAATTTGTCTTGGACGAAAAAAATTGATAATTTTCCTATCTTTTTGTTTGTCCTCTTGGGTTTTTGCTTTCAATTTCTATATAAATATTGAATTAAACTTTTTGCCGCGAAAGACAAAACGGATAGTTTACGATAAGTCAAATAAAAGAAAATTGGATTAACGTAGACTACTAATGTAGTATAATAACTATCGCTCTATGAAAGAAATAAAACTGTTTGCTACAATAAATTTTTCAAATTGTATTGATATCGGAACTGTCTATTTGTGTGATGATTATGACGTAAACGACTTATCTCATCGTTACAGAGGTCTCGTGATGACATTTAGACGAGAGAGTTATGATAATAATAATAGCAGCATAGCAATAGATCTATAATCAAGATCTATGTGTGATGCATACAGTATTAACAAGGTATCCTAACTTGATTACAGCGATAACACCACAATATTATTTCACGATGACATGACGAGGTTTTTATGATACCAGGACAAGTTAGTTATGGCTCTATTAATGGGGTTCCGATGAGGTAGTGATAGTCTTGGTCTGATGTCACAGAGAGATTTAAAAGTTTCTGTAAAGTTATATCTAGTTTAACATTAATATTAAACGTTTAATACCATTTTTGCAGTTTATGTTATTCTCATAGCATTACAATGGTTGTTAAGCAAAATTTCTATTAATCTTTTATCGTTATTTATCGTTATTATAATTTTGTCCATCTTTTCTTCGGTGGCTTTACTCGTGATAATTACTTTTTTGTCAGGTGAGAAACATGCAATCAAATTTTGTCAATTGGGCGTATGAATCGTGGGAACACTTTTGTCAGGTGAGTGCACACAAAAAAG